CAAATAGCAATATGAGTATGCAAATATGTGCGATGAATTGTAAATGAAGTGATGTATGGAATGATCTTGCGGCTGTTAAATCATTAAGTGAAATAAATAATTTGACATATCAATGAGTCCATATTTTTGCGTGAATAAGAACGAGCGTCAACACATGCTCAAGGTTTCCTCCATTTTCTTCGATCTGAAAATGTTGACGCTTGTATATGTCAAGTGTTCTATTTATGATATTTCACAACAGGTTATAATGTACGATACATAAGTATCCATATCAATGTCGAGGAGCATTGTGTTGAAATGAAAAGCTCTAGAAGCCTACTTTTTTCGTCTATGGATACAGTGAAACAACCCTGTGTATATTGCAATGCATATTTAAAGTAAAATATAAGATGTAATTCAAGACATTGCATTTAAGCGTTGATAAAACTACAAAAAATGACCTGCAGCCATGTAAACTATTTTGTTCGCAACTCTTGTATTAGGGATATGGAGTGTTGCTAGTTCTGTGGATGTGTGTAAGTATGGATATGGATGTGGGTATGGGTAGATATGAGTGTAGGTGTTGGTATGTGGGTGTCTATGGGTGTTCTGTGGGTCGGTGGGTGTACGTGGTGGCGTATCGGTGTGTGAGCGCGGATGTGGCGGTGCATCTAACTTAATAGAAGAGGGTGTCGGTGTGAGCGGGTCTGGATATGACTGTTAGTCTGGGTCTGGGTGTGTGGATGTGGAAGTGGGTGTATGGTAGTGGGTGCGGGTTCCACTGAACAGAAGAGGGTGTGCATGGGCCTTCCGTTTAGTTAGATCCACATCCACGCACCCAGCACCAGCACTTACGTTCACTGACTCACATCAACACCACCACACACATCCACATATATTCACACCGGCACACCAACACATCCACACCGACACCCACGCCCACACTCACACCCACACCCTACATTCGTTCTCTTTTCTGTATGTACGAATTATGTATGTTCTTTCTCGTATTTTTTTAGTGAGTTCCTTTCTTTCTACATATTACGTGCTAGTAAAATCTTTCATTTTTCTTCACTCAGATATATATATATATATATATCTGTTGCTCGAAACAATAAAATATTGTACATACACAACAAGATAAAACTTATCTCAGATCGGCAATTGTTTCATAGTTGACTATCTTTACAATGTATTTGATCGAAGAAAAGAAATTTTTTGACGTGTGGAATATTAACATGAATAATTATGTTCAACATTGCTAATATTATGCACTTGTTCACTAAGATTGTAATGGAAAAATATTCAGATTGTAGAAAAGATGAGCTATCTCCACGAGATTATGAAATAGCTGATCAGCTTCTGATAGTACTCGAATTATTTATGAATTCAGCTGAAGTATTTGATGGCGATGTTGTATTAGAAGTCGATGACTATGATGATGGCGATGAAGAATATGCGATAGAATCGGATGACGATGACAAATCATATACAGTTGGTGGTCATTCCTACTCTTATAAAACTATGTGCGAAATTGTAGAACATGCTAACATCCACCAATTTTCCGCAGTCCAACGTCGCTATCATTTGATCAAACAACAAAATCAGTTGAAAAGAATCAGAAAATATGCAAAACAACGGGGAACAAAGAGACAAAAATTTAAAAAAACTTGATTAATTCATTTTTGATAAATTTAATAAAATGCGAAGCAAATTCGTGCCTATTCATGATGAAGATTTAAAACAACTCGCTATAGGAAAGGCTAAACAGATTAACTTGGAGACCTTTAAAACATCATCATCTTGGTTATTGAATTTTAAACGTTGTCACCATATATCATCGAGAAAAGTAACAAAAAGTGTAACAAAAAATCATGACGAAGATTGTGAACAGATTATGAAACAGACGAAAACATTTGTCCATCAGATTAAACAACATGGTCCCCGTTTCAAAATGACACATATACCAAATGCTGATCAAAGTCCATTTAATTATGAGAAATTTTCAACATGCACTCTTTCCATCGCTGGTAAAAAATCTACTGTAGGTCGTATCATCTTGTCAAAGGCTTTTACACATTCACACACAATAATGCCAATTATTAATTTTGCTAGTAAGGTTATTGGACTTGTTTTCATATGCTTGCAAGAACCTACAGGAAAACTGGGTTCACAAGTATTGAAATCTATGTATAGGGCATACAGTATACATGTAACTTGTAGCAAATCTAGAAAGTTGAGTAAATCGCATATACAATATTGGACCAAAGAAGTACTTCGACCATCTATCGAAGAAAATTTTCTACTGTTACTGGTCTCTTAGTCTGGACAGACCGATCGAACAACCTTAGATGAAGTCTTGGACGAAAATATTGAATGCGAGCTTTTGCAAATATCTCTAAGACAACTGCAGATACTCAGTCTCGTGACAAATATTTTTTTCGGCAATGGAAATATCTTTATCAACAATGCTTTAATCGCGTAGTAGTCGACCAACTTGAAATTGATTTGCGGTCAAGAGATAATATCTTAAAATTACACTCTCTTATTCATAACCAGCTATCCTTCAATTGATTTTCCGCAATGATTAAATATGCATGGTTCTCGTGCAGTTGTACAACTCAAGATCCTGGCAGATCCAAAAATGTTCGAGATATATGCTTCTCTTGTTATGAAAATAGCTGTTCTACTGTTGGATGTAATGAACAGACCTTCAAATGTTACAGTTGATGCGATGAAACTTTGTTTTCAAATTTTTTTTTCTTTGAGAATCATAAACACTTTTAGTTTATTTCTTCATATTTTATGCATTTTTTGATTCAACCGCTCCATATAAACCTGATAATTATTAGTAAATTGTTGAAAAAATAAAAAACTTTAGTGAAGCGAATACCGAGATGGAAAACAAATATAATACTACTATTTTTGACAGAGAGCTAACTTGAAAAAATGAATCTTGTCGATTTTCTACAATTATTTTCTAAGAATGCAATGATAATTTTAGCGAATTTTCAAAAAAAATAGAAAAACTTTGTGATATATATACTAGGAGAATAGGGTCTACATCTGAAAAAGTTATGTCTTTTTTTCTCAGACCTAAACGAGAGCAGCCAAGATATTCATATCCGAGATATTCATGAGTGATCCTATAGGATAGAATGTATAAAATCCCTCTTTGCGTGGATACACTCAAATATGTTCCCTTGTAAGTAAATCTATTATAAGCTAAGTAGAATAAGCACTCGCTAGTTAGAAAACTTATTTTTTTAATAGTTATTTCATTGTCATTATAGGAACGGGATTATACAAAAGATAATAGACATGATAAATAAAAATAATATATTGGGACAAAAACAGTACTGGTAAACAGACGCAGTATCGAACAAAATATTAAAAAAGAAAAGCACTACGTTTGAAACAATTTGAATTTTGAAACGAAGCGTACAAAAAGAAAATGAATGGTAGATTTAATGAAAATGAATTTATTTAAAGACAAACTGACAACAAGAAAATGACATCGATCGTAAAAATGACCTGAATCAGATTTATTCTAAATTATTTTTTGATGAATAATAAATAAATGAAAAAAGAAAACAAATGTCGAATGATGTCATGCTTGAGTGATTGATTCAAGGAAATATAAACAGGTGATGAATATATGTACAAGGATTTTTGTATATTTTGCTTTTCTTACATTTTATGTTTATTTTATGAATTACATGTGACCAGTTGTTTAGAACGATTTTTATGTTAGATTTACTTCTATTTACATTGTTATGATAATTTGATATTTTTATTTCTATGATAAATATTTTCTTTTGTTGTTAGATTTTGAATTCGAAGAGAATCGATTCCGAATAATTTTAAAATTTACTCGAATCTCTACTTTTTCAATCGAACAAATATTTTATTGATAAAATTAATTTTCATGTAAAACAATGAACAATAATCGAAAAGCTGCAAGACCAATGTTTCATGCTCGACATCCCAATCAGTAAATACATTTTTTCCCTTCATTATACATATAAAAAGAATTAATTTGATTTTAAATAAACTTCATCCTAGATATGGTTATGCTCTTTCACCGCAGCTATCTGTCAACTTTTCACATCCAAGTAATTCTATTTTGTTACATCATCATCATAAATATATATGGTTTTTGTTTCAGAACCACCATCATATTCTCAAGCACCTTGGAATGTAACAAAATGGATTGATCCTATTGAACCTCAACATCGATATCACCGCAGATGATGAAAAACAAAAGGCCATCGTTATTATGAACATGAAAGTATTTTACACACTAAAATAAATCATTTTTTATTCATCGAACAAGATTCTAGAACATTAATAAATAATAAAATCAAGATTCCTTTAAAAACTCATCAGAAATTTTTTCTTAAAAATAATCTAGAAAATATTCAATTTTATTTGATATGTCATATGAATGAGATGATGATTATCTATATGGAAGAATTTTTGAATGGAAATCTTCATCTTCAACATCTTGTCCATATTCTTCAAGACGTATTATCTTTAAAAAATTTTTTTAAAATCTTATTTATAGAAGGCAGGTAGAGTTGGTCAAGAAAGAAAACTTTTGCTTTTAATTCGAAAAAAATATTTTACGAAAAATAAATGTATATAACAAAAACATCACTGTTAGATTACTCAGTATATAACATCTACTCAATATGATGTTCGATCGATCTATGAATCATAAGATGAATAAAATAAATCATCGACGACGATTGCAACAAAATTATGGAACTGAATATAATTAAGAAATTTGAAGAATTAGAATTGTCGAACTAAAAAAATATTCCAAATCTCCATTTATTTAATCATGATGAATTATATTTAATCAGAAGATATTTTTCACTGTTTCATAATTTTTTCCTTTGAATTCGCAATAATGACACATGATAAGAAAAGTTGTGAAATAACAAAAAATAAAGGAATTGGGCATCAGTTGAAGTTTAGATTCATCGTCGAGTTCTCATTTGCCAAGTTAATTTTCAATGTCTATTAATACATTAGAAGAAATTATATTTCTATCAGCACTTCAAAAATTTACAGTACATTGTGTTTCTAATCAATGTTCATCGAAAATCAAATTATATTGTGTAGATCTTTTGATTGCTGTTGAAAACCTTCCAAAAATCTATATTGGTCATAAAATTCAACTTGCTTTAGCACTTGAAAGTGCTTCTCTAAGAAATGAAACAAGACTTGTATTAAATGATTATATGAATATTATTTCTCATTTAATTTATCTTTCTCGACCAAATTTAGACTTAGAAGAAGAGAAAAAACGTGAAAAATGGACAGGAATTGATCTTATATCATTATTAAATCAATGTGAAAATCGTTTTAAAAACCAATCTTATTCATCAACTATTTGGATTGAAATTTTGAATAAAACAAGCATGGTGAGTTATAATGTAAATTATTTTAAAAATATTTCATTTGATTTTGTTCAACATGATACAGATATTGAACAATTATTTCAATGGATTGATCAAAATAAAATTAAAATATCTGGTCGATTTAATCGAACATATGGAAGAATACCCTTATTTTGGTGTACACCATCTTCTTCAAAATTACATTCAAAATATGGATCAATTCGATTAATATTTCCATTTTCTCTTGTTTATTCGTCTACTCAACATCATCTCTTTAATTTGGGACAAAGAAAAAATGGTTTTGATATTTGGCAGAATATTTTAATTACAACAAGAAAACAAATTGCTGGATATGGAAATGATTTTTTCGAACTTTCATCAATACCATCAATACCTTTAGATATAGCTATTGATTTAACTGATGGGCCATTGATACTTTCTGATGTTCGTATTACATTTGTTAATCATATTCATCGATGTATACCTATATTACCTGATAAATTAACACCACAACATTCTTGTTACAATACATCTCATTCTGCTATGGAGAATTTTCTTCGTCATCTTCGTAAAAATGAACAATCTACATTGGATCAATTAAAACATCTTTTTGATTTACAAATCTTCGAAAAATTAAAACAAATCAACAATATTTTATCTTAAGAAGAGATCGCTGCATGACAATATCAAAGACAATTTTAGGTGAGTTTATTATCTAATATTATTTCATTTTATATCTTCACAATCTTTAGAATAATTATCATATTTGACTACTTTATTATCTCTAAAATTTATCGTCAAACTAATGGTTTTGTTATATATCGATGTGGCCTAGTATTACGGAATTTCATTTTTTTTTGCATTGTAACGTCTATTTGTCGTTAATGGTAAAAGTAAATTCTTTAAAACTCTTATTATAGATAGAGACTATTTAGATCTCCTGTCAGCAAACATTGCTACTCAAGAATAAAACCGCTTCTATTTCAAATACTATCGATCGTTCTCTTTTCAATAGTAGACTTAGCTTTCTTCACTTTTAACTTCGAATCCTTCTCAGGTGTGAGTGATCAACAGCTGGCCATGCCGATATATCATATGCTAGTTGAGTATTATATATTCAAATAGTTTTACAAATTACACATATCTTTTTCTAACAATGTTGAACTACGAGAAATAATAAAATTTTCTTAGATACAAAGCTCTTCTTTATAATGATATACGTTATTAATATTGAATTTTATTCAAACGTTGAGGAAATAAAATAAAATTTCTATATCATGATGATATTATTCTTTTCATTGCATTTTGCTTTAATTTATGTGATTCATGATAGACTTTGAATAAATACTTCTGAAGTTCTTTTTCTTCATGTAATTTCAGCCTGTATTAAAAATATACAATGATATTTTGTTCTCTACTGCTAATCTGTAACAAAAGACGTTTGAAATAATCATTTGACTATGATTATTATTTTTTTTAAACAATTTTTCATCTCATTAGTTATTATGATTACAAATAAATGTAGCTTCGTTTCTATGTGATAGAAACCGATGGTTTACCGTGGTTTTACCGGTCCGATTACAGGCTCCTATTACCGCGGTAAACTAGCAGTTTTCTCCGGTTAACCATCGTCAATCCAGTTCTTTCTTCCTGATATCTCACCCGCTCATATGATATCAGTATAAAATAAATTATTTATTTTATAAATGAATGGAAAATTTTATTGGATTAATTCATACTTGCATTTGGATCAGCTGTTGAAGCAGCTCTAAGTATAAAAAAAATAGTTTTATTTTTTTTAAAATCCATACTTATAGTTGCATTTGGACCAAACCTAAAATAAAAAAAAGGAATTTTATTTTTTTAAATTCATACTTACATTTGGATTAGCTGTTGGATGAAATATAAAATAAAAAGAATAAAAATAATTTAATTAACCCTTTGAGTATCAGTTATGACTAGAGGTGTAAGCCATCCAGCTGAGCCGCCGCCGCCGCCGCCGCCGCCGCCACTAAATCATAAATGATTTTAAAAATTTCTCAGCCACCGCCGCCGTGAAAAAATCGAAATCAGCTGCTGCGCCGCTGGCACGAAAAAAAAATTTTTATATCACAAGCCGCCGCCGCTGACATCTATACATATGCGATCAAAAATTTTTACGTTATTTTCACCAGTTGACTTTGTGGGTGGATGGGTATGCGGGTGCGGGTGTAGATGTTGACCTTAGAAAATCAACACCCACGCTCACCGACACACACACACCCTGCCGGTGTGGGTAGACTCAGGGAACACTCGCACTCACCCTTTTCCGCAAAATGTTAGGAAAATACAAATGATTCATGATAAATATAATTTATTTAAAAAAAACGTAAAATTTAATTTTTTTGCAGTTTTTTGTTTCGTATTTTTTATAATCTTATGCTTGAAAGAGTGTATATTTTGTATAGTTGCTCCTGGTATTACTAATTATGTATTTTTCATTGTGTCGTAGTGTAAATTACGTTTAAACTATCCCCCTGCAATAGAAGATTCAGGCTCTTCTATTATGTTCCAGCGTAAAGATTTTGCAGGGGGGTCTTGTATTATGTCCCAAATTTTTTTTCTAAAATCGAGGTAAAAATGTATTCCAGCAAAACGAAGGCGATTTTTAGGATTTCCATCAGAATTTTTCAGAGCCTAGACACAATTGTGAACTTATTCTCTTAAGTTTTTCTGCTCACAATTTTGAAAACTGGACATATTTTGACGAAAATACATTTTTTCAAGTTTCTAATTTGCAACAAATTAATTAATCAAAGAGGGGTCTTCTATTACGATCGGTGAACTGTTTCTTCAGGGGTCTTCTATTGTAGGGGAGTGTTTACTTCATATATCCTATATTAAAACAGTAATAAGCAAGTATTGAAATAAATAGAAATATCTTATTCTCAAAAGAATATCTCAATTTCAAACCTAGCCGCCGCACGAGAACTCATAAATATCAACCGCCGCCGCCGTGTGGAAAAATTTGGTCGATTATAGCCGCCGCCGCTGGTCGAAAATTGAGAACTATTGCTCACCGCCGCCGATCAACTCCTCGGCTTACACCTTTAGTTATGACGATTAATCACAAGACGTAAATGCAGATTATGTTGGTGCATATCTAAAGAAGACATTTTATAAAATCGTGCTACAACTGTATATTAACGGCTCACACCAAATTAGAAAAGCTATATCAGTCAACAATTTTCGTGAAACTTAAAGAATACTTTTCCAAGCTTGACCAAGCTGAATGTAAATGTCCCATGTGATTCGAACTGGACAAAAACCGACCCTTGTTTTTGAAAGTGGCGCATCATGATCTATTGTATCAAAACGGCTGAATATTTTCGAAGTCTCTTAAAACTGACAGAATTGGGTCGATTCTGAAATATCCTAATTATGTTGATGCATCTGCACCGCCTATACTAGTCACACAATCCAAATCCATGTCGTTGATTTTTATCAAAACTGACGATTACCAGAGGTTCTAAGGGAAACCGACGGTTGGACTCGCTTTTCCTTCATTTATCGTCTTTTTTTATTATTTTATTATTAAATTAATATTTTTAGTCTTGAAAATGTCGATTCGAACTTTAAAAAACCGACTTAATCATGTAACAGTAAATTCTGTCCATACAGGCGGCTTCAGCGCATCGACAATATAGAGAGGGCGTCATTTCGACCGAAATTTGTCAATTTTGTACGACTAGAGAAACTAGATTCGTTGGGAGGCGAAAATAATTTCAACTGGGAAATTGCAGTTAACCGTCGGTTTTCGAGCGGTTTGAGTGACATGGAAATCGATCCCAGTTCTGAAATAACTGTTTTTTTATAGATGGCGCTGCAAAATTTTTTATTAGTAAAACATATTGTGAAATTGTTTTTCTGTATGAATTTGAATTCTTTCTAATAACAAATTCAGATTTGGGTAGAAAACGCTCTCTGCATTCGTTTACGCGCGTTACCGCCGGTTCTAACAAAGCTTGACGTCAAGTTCTATGCTATTCAAAGCCAAGCATTCTTCTGTGATAACTACAGTTAATCGGTTAAATTATCGGTGAACTGCGGTTTACTGGTGAAATTAATAACGAACTGCGGTATTTGTTAAAATTGACGATAAACCGCCAGTTTTGATGGATACCACGGTTCACTGCTAAAAGTAATCCGGTTCTCGTGACATGGGACTTTTTTATTTCTCGTTTTGTTTCCTCATTATCTGAATCTATGTAGAGACGCATATTTGCGCTCCCTTTGGAGTGTGTATATTCAGAACCGATAAATAAAGAAAATTAGATTCATCATTTACAATGTCTGCTCTAGGAAAACAAACGAGTTTACATTTTCGACATAGAAGTAATGTTGTATTCAAGGTGTTAGCAAGGAGAGTACTCTGTCAACCATGAATTTAGATGAGAAGACCGAAGAGACAATTGATTCTTCCTTCCAAATCTTTTTTCAACGCTTTTCTAGTCATGATAAACCATGAGACGATTGCAAAATATCTAAATTAGAATCTATCAAAAGAGCGATTATGACCAGAGACAGCTTTCCTTGTTGATGAACGTGTCTTTCCTTAATAAGCGATTTATTGATCATAGAGCGCATGTTTGACAAGCAGCATTTTCACAGCATTTAATAGATCCGATTCTGTGTAGACTTGTGAAATCTTAGAAAGTTTTGAAGAAATTTAATATATTTGTTCCAGTTGTGTGTGCGTATTGGTGCAGATAATTCTGCATAAAATTTCAAAATCTATTATTATACTATGAATGAATTTATTAATATTCGAAAACAAGGTCTAAATCAAAAATAGTATTGTAGTTCAAACTGTTAATTTTATAAATGGCCTATTTGTTTATCATTGATGACTTTGATGATTTCAGTCATTCGAAAATTTAATGTTTAGTTTGAATTGAGATAAAAGCTTATTATAGAATTTAGTAAAGATAGAATGAACAAGTTTATTCTATTTGCATTTAGAAAGAGAAAATATATATAGAAATAATAGAGTTCAAAGACGATCTCTACAAATGTAATAAAATATAATAATTAATAAAACGAATAGAAGTATGTACCATAAAAAAACGACATAGAGTTTTTCTTCATAATTCATTAAGAAAACTAAAAGAAAAGCTTAAAAATTGAAGAACAACAAATATACAGTCGTTTTTTTGCTTTTTCTGACCTACTTCTATTCAAAATAAAATAAAATAAATATTTTCAAAAGTTTAACGTATCTTCATCATGTTGTTGAATAATTCCTGCAGGGACAACATATTCGTTCCACCAAACATTTATTTCATTAAAGAAATAAACAACAAGCAAATTGAAAATAACCAAAATGATGAGACACATTTGAAGAATGATTGGTGAAAAACAATTCTTATTACTAATTATTTTATTCAATGATAAATTTGATTCTTGATTCATTTTAACCTGAAATTAACCATGAAAAAATTCTCTTTTATAATTTTCTAAAATTTGTTCATAAAATAAAGAATTTTTACTGACAGGTGTTCTTTGTGGCGTATTGCTTATCCATGATCGAGATAATGACTGAAGTTGTTCATCGGTAGCTCGGATCTTTTCTAATAATCGATCATATCGTTGCATTGTTTCATCACGTTCTTTGTCATGTTGATATACTATATCAGGTAAATGAGATTTTAAAATACTTTCTTCCTCTGCTTTGCTGTAACTTTGTTGTGATAGTGGAGTAATAGATGTGAGAGAAGATTCACTAAGAGAAGGAGTATGATATGAATCGATTGACAAAGGAGGAGAAGGAGATTGAGATGATCGAGAAATTCGATGACGAATAGGAACAGGTATCTTTGAAGGAGATTTTCGTTGGCAAGGTTTTATTAATGAAAGAGATGGACATGTTGACAATGAAGAAGTATTTGTTTTCCTTGAAGATTTTTCCTTTCTAAATTAAAAATAAATTAAAGTAAAAACGAAAATAGATATTTGCTTTTTAGTTGCTGTTTTTATTGTATCATCTCTTCCTTGATCAGTATATTCTCTTACAGGTGACCATGAAACATCTTGTCTTCTATTGAATTCTCTTCTCGACGGTCGAGAATATTGATTTGAAAAAGTACGTGAACGAGCCCTTTTGTCTGACTGTTGTGCAAGACGATTTGGTGAAAGTGATCTTGATCGTTGTTTACTGATATTCGTTGGAGTATTAGCTTCTTCTCGATAGGGTTTCATATAATATTGAAATCGAAATGGACGACAATTATTTGATGTTATCTGATAGGAATAATTCGGATCAAATATATTAATTGTTTTATCGAAAAGAGAACGAGGCTGAATGGAATGTAATGAAGAATATTGTTTAGCTGTTAATTCAACAAGATGTTGAACTTGATTAAAATCAAGACGTGTCGAAAGTGTTGGTTTCTTTTTTGAAGATGATCGAGAAGAAGAAGGAGATATTGATAATTGATCTTTTTTTGATATCGATCTTTCTTCTTTTTTTTCAGGTTTTTTTAAAATAGATTTTATTGATGAAGAAGATGTCGATTGATCAGGAACAATATGTTTAATATTAATAACCTTATCAGTTGTTTCTCTTTCTTTCTAAAAGAAGAAATTCTAAATAAAAATGTTTTTAGTTCTATTAGAATGACTTACAATCAATCGATGAGAATATTCATTTTCGAAACTATCGAATTCATTTGATGTTCTTCGTTTAATAAATTCCATTCTATCATGTTTATTTGAAATGATTTCTGATTTATTTTCATAAAAATGTTTAGTAACTTCATCTTCTGTTGCAATAACATTAAAACAAGGTTCACTTTTAAGACGAATTGTTTGTATTGTTGGTAAAAGTTGATCCTGATCAAATGAATAATCAAATTTAACATGTTCTCCATATCGATCAGGAGTCAAGTTTTGTGTTTCTTGAGAAAACGTTATATCAATATTGGAATTATTCATTGGAAATGTTCTTATCTAATTCTAAACTTTTTTTAACGAAAAATATTTTTTTTTTCTTTGACATAATTACCTCAACATATTGTTATTGAAAAAAAAAGTTTCACTATAGTGGAATCAAAATATCATAGACCGTTTTCATTATCATGCATTACATGTCATTTTGTAGATATATAACCAGGCATCAAACGAAAATGTTTCGACAAGTATCGCAAGCAGCTGCTGCATTTCTCTCTTTTTTTTTCAATTAATCGCTTTGGACATTTTTCAATAGGTTTTTTTACGTTACGTTCTATTCGATATGTGATTAGAAACCTTCGATGTGACATCTGTTATTATATCATTTCCATTAAATGTGAGCACTTTTTTCAATATATCTATATTGATTTACAATAACATTTTTATCAAAATAAAAGAAAAACAACTTGACATCAAATATAGTTTAAGTGCATAATAAAGTTATAAAAAGGAAACAACGATCTAATAATTATGATTGTCATTTAAACAATATACTAGAATATATCTTCAAGGACAAGGAAAATAAAAATAATAAATTGACACTGGAAAACAAAACAGTCTTATTAAACAGACAGATACTAAATATTGCTTTTTTTTAATGCCGTTATTAATATATCTATTTTATGAATAGTTTTTTTCTGGAAAAGAATGCATCACTCGGATATGCATTTTGCTCATTTTAAACTTCTCTATGATTAAATCATATGGGGCCAGCATTTATTATCTTAGGGTGGCGAATTAGTTCATATTAGTAATGGAAAATATCAGTATCCACAGTGAAAGTAAGGAATGGATGATTGACTTGAATTATTTTAAATCCGATTCTTTCTTCATGATGTTATATCCATGCGTGTCAAAAAAATGACTGGAGATCTATCCGAATTCTACTCATTGTGAAAATAAGTACTAAGTCTCTTATCGAATGGTTTTTTTCTATTTATTGATTTATACAGCTATAAGGAAAAAAATATTTTCGCTTTTATCTAATAACACCTTGGGCATCTTTCTATTTTATGAGTAGAGAGCTGGTGATACTAATCAGAATTATTGATATACTAGTTTTTAAAAACAAAAAAATTTAATTTTTTTCTATCAACTATGTTTTATGATCTGCGTGAAACAATGATTATTTCACTTTCCCATATTGTTATATGCTGTTTACACATCAAATAGTGCCTTTTCGAAAACGTTAGCAATATGGTTTATTTTGCATACATCTCTGCACAGAGAAAACATCCAATCTTGACTTTTTCTTTGAAATATATACCGTTGAATTCTTTATACACTTCTATTAATCTTTATTTAAAACAATAGAATTCAATCTTTTAATAGGTTACATAGAATAAATCTATGAAATCCAGCTACTTTCCACTGATTTTTCCCATGGTTTTTTTCAGTTTAATAAGGCACCTCAAAAGTTGCCTTTATAATATTTCAATTGATTTATGATATGCTCTTTCAGAATAATGTCTAAGCATTTAATCACAATTTACTTTTGTCGAATGTGAATAGCTTATCTGAATGATTACAGCGAAACTAGATCGTTTGACAGTATTCAGATTTTTATTGCATCTAAATCATAAAATATCACATTTTATTTGGACTTTAACTAGAAAGACAAATTTGCTTTCGAAAAATACTGTAAAAATGAACTCATTTTGATCATAGATCAGATTTCTAAGATGACTTTTTTAAAAATAAATTAACAATAGAGAAAATGTCATCATTCTCAAAAACAAATGGCTTATTGAAAATGTTACAAAACCAAAAGATTTATAAATAGAAAACTCCTGTATATATGCTCAACTAGGAAAAATTTTCAAGAGATATTTAATAGTGAGTTCTGTTTTCAAAACTAAATATCCGTTCGTATGGGAAAAATAAATTAAGAGAAACAATGCGTGAGAAGTAAGTTAAGTTCTTATAATTACATTAGGTCACCTAGAAAAAAATTTCCTTTTTTTTATTTTAAGTTAAGATTCATTAAAATTTATAAACAATTTCACCGAATATCTTTCATACGAAAACTCAACATTTTATGTTTTATCTCTGCAGAAATCTATGGAAAATAAATAATGTTGCAAAGATTTTTGGACATCTGATAAATCTTTTCTCGATCTACGAAAAACGCAGATTTGTTTAACGAGAACTTTTTTTTATATTTGAAATATCGATCTAGATTTTTAATTTTTCTAGATAACAGAGAACAAAACAAGATATATCCGCTTATCACATGAGAAACTCTTATTTTCTGTTCTTTTTATAAAAGCCTAGAAAACGAAGAAATTTAAAATTGTCCGAATATTATTGTTGACTATATATAGACACATTGAAGTGACGTAGAATTCGAACAAGATGTTATCATCCAATCTGACATTCGATTTCTTCCCTATATGCTAAAAATTGATATTTTATCTGATGAGATAATATTGAAATAATAGAAAATGAATTAAAAAAATTGTTTATTTAATTGATATTTTTTAAAAATATATATAGTAGATGTCAGAGATATCCATCAGATAATATTATTTAATGTATGATTGACTAAATTCATTTCTCCATTAAGTTTCTTTTCTGTTCTGTACGATCGCATCGATATCAATCACTTTTTCTTTTACTCAATATAAGAATGTCGAATCCTGTTTCAAATCTAGATACACCTTCACCATCCTCTTCAACTTTAAACACAAATAGAAATTCAACAAATGATTCAACATATTCACAAAATAGTTATGTTAGTCTATTAGATTCATGTGAAACTCCTGGTTAGAGATATTATTTATTAATATTGAAATTGAATGAATATATATTTGATTAGATGGTCCTGTTTTATCTTTTCCTCAACGTGCAACACTTAATTTAAATCGAAGTTTAAATATATTACGTCAATGGAGTTCGAGAACATTAAAATATACTCGACAATTATTTCAAGAACGAGTAGGACACCTTCTTCCTACACAAGATATTGAACTTGAACAAAATATTCAAGTTTGCTTTCATTTTTTTGTTAATAACAATTAAATAATTGAATTCGAAATGAAAAAAAAAATCTTTTAGCTTCTTCGTGAAACGAAACGTCATTATGAGAATATATTAAATGAAGCTCGTCAAATGAGCATTTATTTTTCTGGTCTTCTTCAAACACAACGTGCTCTTGGTTTATTTTAATTCATTTATTTTAATTTAAAAAAAGAAAAATTTATTTTAGGTGAATCTTTCAATCAATTACAACGAATATCTGGATCGTCAGATGATCTTGTTGATCAACTTGTACGAAATAGTCAATGTCAAAAAACATTAGCACTTAATGGTGATATACTTTTAAGTAAAACAATTTTTTTTTTTTTTTTTTATTTAGAAATTAAAAAAAAAAGTTTTAATTTAGATGCAATAAATACATTTATTGATAAATTAGAAACATTAACAAATAAAACAATTGAAGATACATTAATTACAATAAAAATATATGAAAATACAAGGTTTGTTTTATTTAAGTATTGATTTTATTGATGATCATTTCTATTTAAATGAATATAGATTTGAATATGATGCACATCGATATGATTATGAATTATTATTAGCTCGAAATAAATCTGAAGAAGAAAGATCTTCTTCAGATGAATATATTCAACATCAATATCAATATTTTAAACAACGTTATGAAAAATCCAAAGATGATCTTAATATTAAATTAAAATTACTTGATCAAAATCGAGTATATCATTTATTATTCAATTTTATTTTCTAACAAAAATTTTTTTTTTTCTTTTTTTTTTAGA